CTTTTTATTTTCTATTTACAGACAAATAAAACATCTAGCGTTATTGAAGCTTTCTTGTCAAATTTAAGTTAATAATAAACATTTTGGTGGGATATAACCAATGAACTGTGTTTCCATCAGATCTTAATCAAAAGCCAGAAGTAAAGATTCCTCCTCTGATTGAGGGACAGCAGGTCACTCTGAGCTGCACTGCTCCTGGTTTCTGCTCTGGTTCTCCTCCTAAAATCACCTGGATGTGGAGAAGAAATGGAGAGAAGGACTCTTACATCCAGGGAAACATCACTGCTTCAAAAACGGAGAATCTGACCGCTGTCACACAGAGTCACAGCTCAACTCTGACCTTTAAACCTTCAGTTGAAAATCACCACAACACCAATATAACCTGTCGGGTCAGTTTCAGAGGAAATGAAACCAGAAAGACGGCAACACTGAATGTAAACTGTAAGTACCTCATGATCTATAACTATTATTGAAGACACTTTTAGCTCAATCTGTGTAATATTTGAAGAAAGAAAAGGCTGATCATTTGGATTAAGTTAGGTTGTGAAGTAATTATAATTTATACAGAGATATAGGTTCATATAGGGCTCCAAGGTACAAATATTTGGCAAATAATCTGTACATTATGAATGGTTAATAATTAGATTGCAAAAGATGCTTTATAAACTATGGTTTGACGAGATAGAACTTGAACAAAGTGAAATGTTATTTAAGGAGGAAGCAGCACATTAATTGACAAAAATAGATTTTTCCATAACAAATGTATAGACAAATCAAGTGATATTTGTTTGGTCTAAGATTAGGCGATGACTACATTAGGTGACTATTATTTCAACAATAGATTAATTACAATTCATCTTTATCAAATGTTTCAGCCATCAGTAAATATTGAGAACACAGATGAATAATCAGAAAAAGGAACATTTCTTTAACAAACTTTAAAAACCTACTAAAAATCCTTAGTTCATTCAGCTGTTTAAACCTCAGCTCTACTTTTACTTCACAGATATTAGAAAACCACAGATATACAGTAGAACAACAGTGATGGAGGGAGATGATCTGAATCTGACCTGCAGTGTGGACAGCTTCCCTCCATCAGTTATCAGGTGGACTAAATCTGGAACAGAAACTGATCTGAAGGATCATATTTTAAGGAAAGCAGATAACAAAACATTGATCTACCTGCAGGAAGAAAGTGGAAATGTTTCTTTTTCCATCATTATTGTAACAACAGAAGAAGCTAGACGTTACATTTGTACAGCAACAAACCAGAACAACAACCTGACAAAAGAAGTTTTTGTTCATGTTAAATGTTAGTACATGTATTAAAATAAAATATATTTTGATTTGGTTTTGAAAGTTAATATTCTAAATGGATATTCACCTCTTAAGCTTATTGTTTTGTTATTTCTGAAGAGTTGTTCATGTTAGTGTTCAGCACCAAATGTCTGAAGCACAGTTTTGCACCTTGTTTTGTTTAATTCCACATATTTTCTCCACAGACTTTAGAAAACCTCAGATCTTTGGCAAAACCACAGTAAAGGAAGGAGATGATCTGAATCTGACCTGCAATGTTGACAGCTTCCCTCCCTCAGTTATAAAGTGGAATAAAGTTGGAACAGATTGCAACCTGCAGAACAACGTTTTAAACAAGTCTTATAACAGCACTGAAACATTCCTGAATGAGAGTCCTCATAATTCTTCTTTGCTCATCATTGATGTAACATCAGAAGACGCTGGACGCTACATTTGTACAGCAACAAACCAGAATGATAACCTGACAGAAGAAGTCATTGTTCATGTGACATGTGAGTAAATTTTATAAAATCAAATACCAATACCAAATGTATATATATTTTTGTTTTCAAATCAGTCACTTTAAATAGAATAAAATCAGGTTTTGTCGTGTCAGAATTCTTAGCACTTCTGTACCAGCTTTCCTCCATCAGTTATCAGGCGGATTAAATCTGGAACAGAAACTGAAGAGGGGGATCATATTTTAAGGAAAGAAGATAACAGCACATTGATCTACCTTCAGAAAAAATATGGAAATGTCTCTTTTTCCATCATTAATTACTGTCTAAGTGCTGAACCCTCCATCAATGGAGCAAAAATATCAGAGTGACAGCATTTTAAAGTGACTTACGGGAGAATTATCAACAGCAAAACACAGAAGATATGTTTATAGCAAAAATCTGTTAAAATACAGATGTGGTTACTTTAATTTAGGAATTTTGTGTACAGCAGAAAATGTGTGTTTTTAAGTGCAGTCTTATATATTTAATGCTTAAATGAAATGCATCTCAATTTATCAGTATTTCTGTAATTTCTCAGCTAATCATGTGACACATTGTGGGTCTGGCCATGCAGCTCTTCCCTGGGCCATTGCTGGTGTTTCGCTTAGTGTAAATGTTCTCTGTATGATCTACATTTGGCTCCTTTGGTGAGTTACAGCAGCTTCATTTAATGTTTTCTGGTCCAGTCATACAGGCTGTTTGTTTTAACAAGATTTTTCTATTTAGGAATGCAAGAAAAAAGATGAAACCAACTGAAGGTGACCCAACTTACATGTCTCTACAGAAATCTGATACATCAGCAGAGTATGACACCATTGTCCAACGACCACGCTGACATGTCTACAGGAATCATTGAAACTTGGATCTAACCTGCTAAAAAATTGACTTTTATTAAATATACTGTTAGGATGCAAAAGAAAAGAAGAGAGCATGTATGCGAATGTTGTGTCGATTTATTTAGTTATTTGATGTTTCTTAGCTTCTTTCATCTGTTGGTTTTGGTTACTGAAGTTTATTATTTAGTTTATTTTCACTATTTATCAAAGGTATAGTGGACAGATTTTACAGTAATGTAAATAAGAAACTCCTAAGTCATTTTCTGGCTATATTGACCGTTTCCATGGTGATGTGGTTAAAGTCTCAGACTGAAATGTGGGGATTCAACCCCATATGGATCCCTGGGTGTGTCAGGAAGGGCATCTGGTGTAAAATCTTTGCAAAGTTTACCAGCTAGTTCTAATGATTTATGGCAAACCTTGAAAAGGGAGCAAGGACACACACTGTTCTAAGCCTTTCTTCCCTACTTATAAACTGGTAAGATTCTTTTTCTCCCTGAGACTGTGAGACATTTTAGTGTTTGAAAACAGTAGTTGATCCACAATGAATAAATGAAGCTTACATGTTATATAAACCCTAGACATGCACCTGTGCAGGAATAAAAGAGGAAGAATTAAAAAGATCGGCATGTGGGACAATCATTGCATAAGATGCTACCCCTGGGACTCAAAGCTGAAAGATCATCCACTATACCTTAAAGTACTTTTATGTTGAATGTTGAGGCATCTATTTTCATGTTTGCAGCTTTGCCAAAAAATATCTGCTTTAAAAATTTTTTATTCTTTATAAGTTTATATTTCAGTCTTAATGGAGTTTCAAACTATGTTTGCTCATTTATCCAAAGTTTTTATGCTCATTAGAAAATAATTTGTCAAAGAACAAAAGATAATAAAAAAATGTATGCAAGTATTACTTTTCTTGAAGAGTTGGGGAAAATTATTTAATAACATCTTTGAACTAATAAAGAAACACATCTTTCAGTTGTATTGTTGACATTGATGCTAGAGCATGAATATCAGAACAAACTTAATTGTCCAGGTTTTTGAGCACAACGAAGAATTTAATTTTTTTACTTTGGGTTTCATCTCTCACATCTGGAATCGGCATCAGTTCAAACATTTTAGACTCAGATGGATTTACACAGGCTTTGTTTTACACACTCCTACATGGTGGTGTATTTGTTAGCATTGTTCTCTTGAAGCTGAAAGCTCAGATGTTTAAATTCATGTCCGGACCCTGTCTTATTTGTTCTCTATGTACAGGTATGTGTTTTGGTTCTCTCCAGGTATTTACAATTGCATTCCTCAGTCCAAACTCATATGTGAAAATGATTATCTGACATATTCAGGACAAGCTTGAGAAATGCACCAACACCATCACAACACAATCGGTCTATGTGGATTTGGGACATACAGTTTGTGGAGGAATATCCCTAAACATCACAATTTAAGATGTTCATATTTTTTTCTTTCTGTTACTTTAAGAAAATGTCAAGTCAGGGAATTTACAATTACTCAAGTATTAAACACTGACAGAAAACAACTACAAATAAACTTAACCAGAGGGCAGAGCCCTAAAAAATAGGACTTGTTAAATTTATTGAAGAATTGGATCAGATGGAAAAAGCATTGATCAACAGAATTATTTTAGGACAAAATAATATATCTTCTCATCAGAGGAAAACATGCCAGACTCTAAACTTTGTTACAGACTTTCTCCTAAAGGGGGCAGCATTGTTCCTGCCCTCAGCACCACAGATCACGGTAGATTGATTTTATCAGCAGATGTTGGCAATGAGACCTACTACTGTGGTGCCATCAGCAGACCTCCAGCTTACATACCTTCATAGTTGCTGCTGAACAAACATGTTTAAAAACAGAAGGTGGTGAAGGACTCAGCACTCTGTAATTCTGTGATAGAAGAAATATTGCAATGTTTCCAGGTGGCTGTTTATGCTTTGATTAAAATGCTTCAGTTAAAAATTTGATCTTTTTAGAGGTTCATCTTATGAATCTAAGAAAATCAGATATCAAAAGGAAAATTTATCATTAATAGTGATGAACTAAAATGTTTTATGGGATTATTTTCCTTAAATAAGACACTAAATAAAAAGACAGTAAAGCAACAAACGTAGTAATATAAATATGCATAAAAAATCCTTCCATTTTTAAAGGTTCACATCTCCTCAGTCTCACAGGTGAAGCAAAATAAATTTAGAACTTATAGAAGATGAAAACTTTAACAATCAACATATACTCTCTATCCATATCTGTTAGATCTATACATAATAAATTTAGCTTCTCTCATTGGTCAAGCCCTTTTTTATAAGTGCTGACAAACTTCCCAATTTCTTAACGAGCAGAAAAGAAGAAATAAAAAAGAAAGGAGAAGAAGTCAGTTTGGTCGTCTATGAGGAAAAGACACAGACGATTAGAAGAACAGAAGGGCAAGAGACAAAAGGTAATCAAGATATTTAAGAATAGTTTTAGCTCTAATAAGACTGATCAACTGTAAAACATACCCTGGAGGGTTAAAAGATAAATGGAAATTAAGGGTTTTATTGTTAAATGTTTGAAAATCAAGATTTCAATCCTAGAAAATTACAGAAATGTGCACCATTTAATATCATATATATTGCAGGTGTCAACTATTTACAATCACATTTATTTTTCCAAACTAAAATGATATAAAGTCACAGATATTTGGAAAAAAACTTGTCTATAATTTTCATGAACTGTGGTTCTACTGTCAGGAAGCCACATTAGGGATAGAAATGCTGTATCGTAGGTGTGATTTATTGTCTAAACGTTGCTTTGATTCAGATTCAGTAATTCTCTATAAATTCTTCACCAGAGTTTCATCCTGTTGGGACTGAATGTTTCCAGCATCAAATCAGGATGTTGGTTTTCATCTGGATAATTGTGTCTCTCTCTACTAACAACGGTAATGAATGAATCTCCTCTGCAAACATATAATGATCCAAACAGTATTTATGTAATATGCAATAAATCTGCTTGTTAGCCTTGTTTGCTAATAAATACAGCTGCTGTTTGATGTGCAGACATACAAAAAAGAACAACCCAGCTATAGTTTAATGATGAATCTTTAATACTTCACTTTTTGTGTTGACATTGACTGACAAAGAGCTTTCTGAAAGCAGATAATGTAATTGTAGTCACCAATGAAAACCAAAACCAATAATTATTAACTTTGTATTTTCTTGTTTATCAACAGGTGCATTAGGACAGAAAAAAGAGTGTCAACAACCTGGTTACTGCGTTACTCTCTCTACAACCATAACAGCAGAGGCTGGACTCTGTGCTGTGATACCATGTTCTTTCACATCTGAATTTGAGCCAAAAGTTATTATTTGGTTTAAATGCGAAAACCCCCAAAACCCATGTTCAAATTCTGACCCTGTCTTTCACTCTGACAAGAGCAATACAGATATTCAGTCTGGGTTCAAAGGTCATGTATCACTGCTGGAGCCTGATGTGACTCATAGGAACTGCAGCATCATAATCAATGATCTCAGAAAGTCTGATTCTGGATATTATCTGCTCAGAGTTGAAGGAGACAGACGTGGGGATAAATATTCTTATACTGTTTTATACACCAATCTCTCTGTAAAAGGTAGGAAACATTACAGGATAAACGTATATAATCCTATTTTTAGACCTGATAAAAAACATTGTTACTGTTTTTATTGACCTCTAAATAAATTGTAGAAAGTTCAAAAGATTCAAAACTGCCTTTTTATGTTATATTTACATACAAATAAAACATCTAGCATTATTGAAGCTTTCTTGTCAAATTTAAGTTAATAATAAACATTTTTGGGGGGATGTAACCAATAAACTGTGTTTCCATCAGATCTTAATCCAAAGCCAGAAATAAAGATTCCTCCTCTGATTGAGGGACAGCAGGTCACTCTGAGCTGCACTGCTCCTGGTTTCTGCTCTGGGTCTCCTCCTAAAATCACCTGGATGTGGAGAAGAAAAGGAGAGAAGGAGAAAAGTTTCCAGGGAAACACCACCTCAAAAACTGAGAATCTGACTGCTGTCAAACAGATTCACAGCTCAACTCTGACCTTTAAACCTTCAGCTGAACATCACAACACCAATATAACCTGTCAGGTCAGTTTCACAGGAGGAAAAACCACAGAAGAGACTGAAACACTGAATGTAAACTGTAAGTACCTCATGATCAATAACTATTATTATAGATACTTTTAACTCCATCTGTGCAACATTTGAAGAAAGAAAAGCTCATCATTTGGATAAGGTTTGATTGTGAAGTAATTATAATTTATACCTCAGAGATTGTTCAAGAAATACCAATACCTGAGCAAACTGATGTGGCATTAAGTGGTTCATATAGGGCTCCAAGGTACAAATATTTGGCTATTAATCATGAATGGTTAATAATCAGATCGCAAAAGATGCTTTATAAACTACTTGAACTTGAGAGAAGTTGGACAAAGAGAAATGTTACTTAAGGAGGAAGCAGCACATTAAGTGACGAAGATGGATTTTTCAATAATAAATTTAAAATGTCTATACATTTTCTATAGTTTTATCTTAATTACTGTGCTAAGTTGGTTTCTTCTTTAACAAATGATATTTGTATGGTCTATGATTAAGCAATGAATACATTAGGTGACTATTATTCCAATAATCAATTAATTACGATTAATCTTATTAAATGTTTTAGCCATCTGTAAATATTGAGAACACAGATGACTAATCAGAAGAAAAAATATACAATTGACTAACTTCAAAAACCTCCCAAACATCCTTAATTCATTCATTTACTCCACAGATATCAGAAAACCTCAGATATACGGTAGAACAACAGTGATGGAGGGAGATGATCTGAATCTGACCTGTAGTTTGGACAGCTTCCCTCCATCAGTTATCAGGTGGACTAAATCTGGAACAGAAACTGATCTGCAGGATCATATTTTAAGGAAATCAGATAACAAAACATTGATCTACCTGCAGGAAGAAAGTGGAAATGTCTATTTTTCCATCATTAATGTAACAACAGAAGAAGCTGGACGTTACATTTGCACAGCAACAAACCAGAACAACAACCTGACAAAAGAAGCCTTTGTTCATGTGTCATGTTAGTACATGTATAAAAAAAAATATATATTTTGATTTGGTTTTAAAAGTCAATATTTTAAAAAGAAATTCACATCTAAAGCTTACAGTTTTGTTATTTCTTAAAAGTTGTTAATATTTTTGTTCAGCACCAAATGTCTGAAGCACAGTTTTGTACCTTGTTTTGTTTAATTCTGCATATTTTCTCCACAGACTTTAGAAAACCTCAGATCTTTGGCAAAACAACAGTAAAGGAAGGAGATCATCTGAATCTGACCTGCAGTGTTGACAGCTTCCCTCCCTCAGTTATAAAGTGGAATAAAGTTGGAACAGATTTCAACCTGCAGTACAACATTTTAAACAAGTCTTATAACAGCACTAAAACATTCCTGAATGAAAGTCATCATAATTCTTCTTTGCTCATCATTAATGTAACATCAGAAGACGCTGGACGCTACATTTGTACAGCAACATACCTGAATGACACCCTGACAAAAGAAGTCATTGTTAATGTAAAATGTGAGTAAAATGAAATTATATATATATATATAGTCAGTAACTTTAAATAAACCTTCAAAATTCAGGTTTTGGTATGTCAGAACTTTTTGTAATTCTGTATGGCATCAAAGTACAGTTGTTTATCTTGTTCCTTTGTTGCACTTTTTTCCCACACAGACCTCAGAAATCCTCAGATCTTTGGCAAAACCACAGTAAAGGAAGGAGATGATCTGAATCTGACCTGCAGTGTTGACAGCTTCCCTCCCTCAGTTATAAAGTGGACTAAAGTTGGAACAGAAACTGACCTGCAGCACATTTCTAATCATTCTTACAACACCACTGAAAACAATACCAAGTGGAAACATGGAAATGGTTCTTTTTCCATCACTAATAAGTCAGCAGAATTTTCAGGGCTTTATAGTTGTGCTGTGGAACACCTGATGGAAGAAATCAAAGTAACATTAACATGTGAGTAGATTCTTCTAGATTATTTCAACGAGTAATGTTTTTGTGTGTTAACTGTACGAAAAAATATTCAGTATTATTTCTTACTTGTGTTCTTTATAATCTTCTAGTAAATACACCTTATACGATTTATATAGACAAAAGCAGATAGAGAGCCTAAGAAAACTCATCTCTTTTTTAGTCATAAACAGGGGTAAAAAAGAAGATGAACTTAGCCATTTAAGGTAAACACAGACAACTAGTCTATTTCCATTCATATAAACTTGAATTTTGCTACACGGTGGTGCAGTTTGCAACACTGTTACCTTGCAGGAAGAAGGTTCTGGGGTCGATTCTCGACCCAGGCTCTTTCTGCCTGGAGTTTGCATGTTCTCACCGTGCAAGCCTGGGTTGTCTCCGAGTACTCTGGTTTTGTTTTTTATTTTGTTCAAAAACATGACTGTTAGTTGAATTGGCATCTCTAAGTTGTCCTTAGGTGTGAGTCTGTGTGCATATTGGGTGTATGTCTGCTACTTTAATCCCACAGAACCTGAAACACTGAAACCACTAAGCCTCCCCTAGAAGGTTATATGAACCATTTCTGCTGACATTTAATGTTATTTCTCAGCAGCTTCTGCAATGGAGTTGTTCTGACGCAGAAAGTATAAAGTAAATAGCTGCCCTTCAGCCTTTTCAAATCTGTTAGATTTCAATTTCTAATTAATAAATACTTTTTAATGTTTACAAATTAAACATTTAAATTAATAGGAATAAAATCCTAATTAGAAATCTTTCACATTGACGATTCCTACATTGTTTTCAGCCAGAGATGGCAAAAGTACTCACTTTCCGTACTTGAGTAAAAGTATAGATACTTGTGTTAAAAAATACTCTGGTAAAAGTGGAAGTACTGATTAAACTTCTTTACTCAAGTAAAAGTAACAAAGTACAGGCTTGTAAATTTACTTAAAGTATAAAAGTAAAAGTAGAAACCACTTTTTTCATGCCGTTGCCTACATTTTAAATGGATGTCTGCCAATAGGACTAGATCTCCGTTGTGTTCATTTTCAATCATCTCGTCGTCCATGCTACTATGCTAACGCCACCGCCACCAAGCTGCAATGATTTGCCGCCAATGAATACCGCCGAATCTGTCGATTCATCTTGTAGTGGTGCGTCAAATGCAGCGTAGATTCCCATCCAATTAGATTGAATTTGGTATTGATGACGTGAAAAATAATAACGGTAACTCCATTGAAATGATTCAAAACTAAAGTAACGAGCCAATTTTTTTAAAATGTAAGGAGTAGAAAGTACAGATATTTGTGTAAAAATGTAAGGAGTAGAAGTAAAAAGTCGCCATAAAAATAAGTAGTAAAGTAAAGTAAAAATATCAGAAAAATCTACTTGAGTACAGTAACGAAGTATTTGTACTTCGTTACTTCCCATCTCTGTTTTCAGCTCATGCACAATCACGCTATACTTGGAGAGGTAAGAAATGCTCTGTAAAATCACACTGGTTCCTGACTTTTTAAACAGCCAATTGCTTTAAGTTCCTGTTTTATCAAGAAATTCTGCCTATTCTTTTTCGGTGCTGCAGATGAACATTTAACATTTTCTTTATTTTAGTAAAAAAAAAAAGCATGGTCAGTTTCCAAACATTACAGTTCAAATGTTAAAGTGATCTCAGGTGAGGTAAATCACCTTTGATCATGTTTAAATCACAAATTTAAATGTATTTAATTTGGGAATTCTACAATATACCAAAAATAATCTTATATCTTTCCCCTAAATCTTAGTTAGGTGAAGTTTAGTTTATATCACCTAAACAACAACAGATATAACAGCATATTTTCTTTGACATACTCCTACCTGGGTTTTTTTTTTTTTTTTTTCACAAACACTATACACAGACAAACTCCAAGTAGTAAGATATCTTCTTAAGGGAATTGTTTGCCCTGGATGCGATTGAAAAGTTCTCTATACTCATGCACTCCACTCTTTCCTGAGTTTTATTTATGAACCATCCATCCAGCTTCACCAGTCAGGATCTCAGTGATTGGGTGCCTATCGTCAGCATTCTGGGGATAAAAGGTAAAGCTCACTCCGCACATGTCACCAGTAAACTGCAGGGCAACACAGAGATATACAACCATGCACACACAAACTGACACCTAAGGACAATTTAAAGAAGTCATCTCCTTACTGTTACATTATTAAGCATCACTTGTTTTATGCTATTTTGATTTTGTGGTTATAAAATGTTAAACATGCAAAGATTCTTCTGCAAAGCACTAAACACAGCCATATGCTTATAATGTAATGTAACAAAATGCAAAAAGATTTTAGCAGCAGAATAGGTTTGAAAAGTGCTGTAGCACTGAGATAAAATTGACTTTGATCAACATTCACATTGGTAACAGATTATAAAACTATATCTAGGCTTAACTTTATTAACTTATTTTTTTTTTTCCATCTACAGATAAAAGAGACCCTCAGGTTTTCAGGAATGCAACTGTAAAGAAAGAAGTTGTTCTCAATCTGAGCTGCAGCATTGACCGCTTCCCTCCATCATATATCAGATGGATGAAATCTGGAACAGAAACTGGTTTAAATAGAAATATTTCAGAAGTAAATAACAGCTTGGAAATATATCAGCAGTATCAACTTGAAAATGTCTCTTTTACTATCAAAAATGTAAGTATGAAGGATGCAGCGCCTCACATTTGTACAGCAACATATCAAGGCATGGAAGGAGAAATCCACGTTAAATGTAAGCATGCTTTTTCATAATTCATTTTAAACACAACAGAAGTATTACATCTGAAACAGTTTTTGCTAGTTTTATTCGGCTCACAAAAAAATACCAAACCAAATGTTATTCAACTAAAATGTATCATTAGTTGCAATTAAACATCTGAACATACATCTGAAGTGCATCGATCTGAAACAACCAAAATCAAATGGGTCCCGATAAATTTTTTAATGTAGTTTTCAGTCAATGATAATTTGACTGATGAATATTATTAATATATTAATGTTAATGCTCAGGTTTAAATAGAAGTAGAAAACAAAGCTTTTAGTGTATCTGCCCCGTCTGCTTGGAATATTTGATCCTAAATAGTTTTAAACTTAATTGGTCTTGAATCTAGATAAACACAGGTTAAAAAATAATAATAATAATAAGAAAACATATAAGATTGAATTTATTTCAGAAAGGTTGAAATATTTAAGATCTCTAGCAGAGCAACAGTCAATGGGGAAGTCGTGTTCACACCCCTGAGTGTTCCTGCCTTAAAATATCAATTTGACTAAACTTCACAGAAAAAAATCTGCAGAGCTGTAGCTTAAGTAAATCACAAAGCAGCAGAGAAGAAAGTAGAATTAGCATTTTGTCCATCCCTGACATTACAGTAGAGGATACAATCCTTTTAATAGTAAAATATGTGGCAAAATATCGGAACATACTAAGTCTAAGCAGAGGGCAGTCATTGTATCAGTGACATTTAGGCACATTGTTACTGTTTACACATTATATATAGGTGATCTATAAAAAATATAGAGATAATATTAATGCAATCCTTATCAATTTTGAGTCTTAAAGGAATATACACCCAAAACATGATTAGCCTTCATTTCCTACTCACCCCCATGCTGAACAACACTCTGGAGTACTTTTTTGATATCTCAAATGCATCTGGAGATCTGGGAGGCTTCTTGCCGTCTGCTGACATTCAAATAATGGAGGTCTATGGCGCCCGAGGCAGAAAGGTCCATAAAAGTCCACAAAAAACGTGTCAATATTCCTCCATACTGCTCGTCCAATGTATTCCAAGTGTCCTGAGTGGGTAGCATCCAGAATTTACTCAAAACGAAGTCATTTAGAATGTTTTTAGAGCATAAACAGTAGTGTATAGGATTTCTTGAAAACGCGCACATGCGCGTTCACGACGCTACGGAAGCCGGCAGACCAAACCAGCGCATTCAGCTCGGCAAAGAACTCATGCTCTTCCTCAACACTGAAGTCCTCAGACATTTTTCTTTCGTTGTTTCTTTCTTTGCACAGGTAAACAGCACATTTCTTCTTCTACGCTTGCATTATTGGCAGAGCAGACGCTGAATGTGCACTTTCATCTGGTTTGGTCTGCCGTCTTCCGTAGCGTCGTGAACGCGCATGTGCGCGCTTTCAGGAAATCCTATACACTACTGTTATACAATGTTATAAACTCAAAACGTGTGTTATCATAAACTATAAAGAAAATTAGCTGTAAAGATGCTTTGTTGTACTCAATGAATACTTTGTATACCATTATCTGAAAAATGTATATTTGACCCCTATAGAAATGATAGTTCAGATTCAGATCGTACCAAAATAACTTAATTATATTACAACATTCCCTCAGTTTACAACAAAAGTGGATTATGGAAAAAAAAAAAAAAAAAAAAAAACAATCATTGGTTGTCAAAGTATGTAAAAACAAAATCTTCTTGGAGAGGGTGAAGTAATGTACAATTGGTACAAAATGTCCCAAGGAGTGCAATAACATTATCTATCTTAAAAAACACATATAGTTATGAAAAAGAGGAGTGATTGTCATATTAATTGAGAAAGCATTGATTCTGAATTATTTCTATATTCAAGTGATTCGAAAGTAAAAAATGATTAACCCATTACAAAATCATTCACGTTTTAAACGTAAGACTGCCAAACTCTTAAGACAGAACTGTGCAGACAGTTTGCAAAGCCTCTTCCCCTTTTTTATTCATATGCTTTGCCACAAAAAGACTTTCCAAAGGGGAACTTAGTTGCTTGGTTACAATAAGTAAAACAACGATCTGACTTCCCCTCATTTAAAATGCATTTAGATTTTAGTTTTGAAATGAAATGATCACTAGAGTGAGCATATCAGCAAATTCTACAAAACAGTTTGATGTTCAGCATCTTTATTTCTATTTTTGCTTGTTCGATTTGGAGATCAGCATTTTTGTACCATAATGTGTGGCTTGTTTTTAAATGTTTCATTCATACATATCTCTGTTTTGTTATTAAAAATACCGTATATTATAAAACAACCTTGCAAAATATAAGGATTTCATTTCATCGACAGATAAAATGACGCCTAAGACTATTGGAAACCAGACTGTAAAAGATGCTCTGAATATGCCCTGCACTGAAAATAGCTTTCATCCATCACTTATAATTTGGACTGATCATGCAGGCAGCATAAAACCAACAAGCAACACTAGTCTCCACAAGATCGGTGCACTTGATAAACTTGTCATCTTCAACATAACAAGAGAAGATTCAGCAAGATACGTTTGCACAGCAACATACATGAACAGCAAAATGACTGTATATGCTGACATAAAAGTGACCTGTAAGTAAACATTCATTTTATGTAAACCTCATTTAAGCCAGTGATTGCTTATCCTAAACTCTTGATTGTTGTACCTTTCCAGGGCTTCCAAAGGTAGTGAATGGTTCTGGATGTCGACTTTGCTCAACGGTTTTAATCTGTAGTTGCATCAGCGATGGGTTTCCTTTACCCACCATAAAATGGCCGTTGCTGAACAACCACACAGAATACTCTGTCATCAACATGGTGTCAACCCACATTCTCAACAGCACTGTTACTATAAATGTTGATATCCTTAACAGCACGAGTGTTGAATGTATAAGCAGCAATGAGAATGGGGAAGCACAAGAAAAACTCAGAGTCCAAAAGCATTGTCAAGGACCAGAAGGTACCCTTTTGCAGCTTAAACACTTCTGCTATATTTTACTTCTGCTTTGAGGTGCTAAGTGCTCCTTTTTTTTTTTACAGCGATTACGTGTACACAGATCCTTTCTGAAAAAGCTGCCATGCTCCAAATTGCCATTGCCTTTTGTGCCGGGTTCCTTCTTTCAGCAATCATCTGCTGCTTATTCATGAAATTCTACAGGTATGTCATACATAAACATAATCTCTATTTTTCACCTATATATATATATATATATATATATATATATATATATATATATATATATATATATATATATATATATATATATATTTATATTTATTCAAGCTGTTAAATAAGGTGATTTTTTTTTCTCCTCAGAAAAAAAAGGAAACACTCTGGAAATGTGGGTCAATCTCTAGAAATGGTCTCCCCTTTGGTATGATGAACAGCTAAATTCAATGATTGCTCCTCCATTTTCTGTCCACAATATTGTAACAGAACCTAACATAATATTATAACAGCATGTAAGGGGTGCAGTGAAATGGTTTGAGATATTCCACATATCTATAAAACAAAACCATTTTATATTTTTGAGACTTATTTGAGATATGATAAGTTTTTTGGGCTTTGCAGTCATAAATAATAAAGCAGCTTACTTGTTCTTTTTATGATGTAGATTTGCACAACTCATAACTACTAACCATCTCTGCTCTGTCACTTCCTACCTCAACTCAGATGTCTAACAACAGCATGTCATATTTTGAATCATTTTTGTTTTCTTCTAGTTAATAAACCATGACTCCATGTTCTGACAACTTGGCGGTCTTCATGTGAAAGATTTGTATTGGCGTAGAAAAAGTGTGCAAATTTACTGACGTCTGTTTCACTGTATTCAACAGATGCACAACAGTCGAGCTACCGAGGGTGGCCTGTCCCACAGGGGACTCCAGGAGGGAGCTCTGGCTGCAGCTCCTGAAGCTGCCGGTTGTCCACGGGAACTGGTTTATGCCTGCATTGACTTTTCCCTGATGGCCCAGCTTCCCAGAAAACGAGTAAAAAGCTCAGAAAATACCAATACAGAATATTCAGAAATCCAAATAAAGAAAAAAGAAATGAACGATTCTGAAAAGGAAAGTGAACTAGCGGAGATGAAAACCGAGGAGGAGGAAAAGGAAAACTATGCTGAAAAGGAGAAAGAAGAAAAAGAGGAGGTAGTGTACTCCAGTGTGCAGGATTTACTTACAGGGAATTGAAGAATGGTGATGAAGAGATGATGATGAACACAAACACCCCTTATGTTCATGTTGTGTCTCAATATTACCCAGTATATCATAAAGTTAATAGTCCTAAATAGACACCAATTGTACAAAATATGGTAAAAAAAAATATAGGTATGAAATGTTAACACATGTGTTGGTTTGTATCTTATACAACTTTTAGCATAAATCATGCTAGAAACATCAATAAGCATGTTTATACATGAAAAAGATGCCTTGTTGTCATTTACAGATCACAGTTCAGATTTCTGAGAATGTATTGCTAGAATTGTACAGATGTTGAAAGAATAATCATGAGACTTATTTTTTTATTTAATTAACCATCTTGCTAAAACTATTTTCTTTAAACATAACTTATTGTGGTTCACAATGTTTTTAAGAATATTATTCTTCAAATGTTTCCAATAACTGTATAGTATTTTTCATATCTTTGCTTACAGTATACTCCTGCCCTATGCGCCTTTCCCTTTGCTGCTGGTACACCTGAATATTCCCAATGTGGAACTGAAAAGGACTTTCCATTCTATTCTATTTTGTAGATAGCATTATGGTGATGTCACACATCTGAGAGTGAGCCTAACGATGACCATTGCCATTTTAGGAAGGGTAAACATTTGCTTAGCAACCACAGAGTTAGACATTTAGACAGCACTCTCAGTAGAATTTAGAAGCAACTTGAGTCATATTGGTTTATTAATAACAGTAATATAATAGAAAAATTAGCTTTAATCACAGAACCAGGGCGAGGAGAGGCTACAGTTGACAGAGGCTAGTTACACCCCTTTTACACTGGCTGAAAAAACCATTTAGACGTGGGAACAATTGACTTTTAGTGGCAGTGAACACAGCTAACTGACGCCTGTCTACCGAGGTCAAATGACTTGGCAAGTGACCTGCATTAAAATCGCCTCGGCTCTGATTGGCATGCAGTGGGAACACAAGACCTGGGCTCAAATTACGTGACACCATTGAATGCAACCTACGTACTGCAGCACACTGCACCAGTTGCTTCAGATCTAACAAGCCCAAACAACTCTTTTTACATTTGATAAACATGGCTCAACACTGGTAAGAGGGATTTGGACAGATAAAAGAGTGAAATACTACAGAATACGGACTACGCTCTGGCTCCCACCCATGTTACTCTCCATTATTTACTTCCCTGACTTCCATCACACTGTTGACATCATTAGCACTCACCCACTGTGATGTCGTCATCAGACACACATTGGTGGGGGACATTGGCCACGCAGCTTGCCAGAAGGGATTCAGGCTTCGCTTCTTGGTCAAATAAGAAAAGAGCCAAAAGCCGATTCTTAGCGGGGCAACCTAATAATACAGTACAATATAAATGCCTACTACACACGTAGATCAACTTTGACTTCGTAGTCAAGGTTTCTGCATTTTCACAGACTGTTCATAAAACTTGCACCCATGTCGATCTATTTGGTCCTTTCTCTGTTGAAAGCCTTAGAAAGACAGTTTATATACCTCCCAGGCATGACCACTGCAACCATAAGCAACACAGGACTTTGGTATCAGGATGAAATTTACAGCAGGCTTATCTATATGAAGTCAGAACTAGTCGTTACTGTGCAGTTGTTTACCCCTCCTGTAATGGCCATGCATGACAGCAGACAGCAGTCTGCAAGCATTCTGTTCTATTCTATTCTATTCTATTCTATTCTATTCTATTCTATTCTATTCTATTCTATTCTATTCTATTCTATTCTATTTTATATAAATCAATACAACATTTTTTTATATGACTGTAACAAAAACTATTTTCTCACTGGGGTGTGCTGCATATGGTTAAAAACAATATAGATTATTCTGTTTTTTGAATTAGACTTTTTTGGAGTATTCCTACACTTCACAGATTAAAAAAGAAAAACTTGAAATTGAAACAATTGTATTTTTTTCCCAGTAGCCTATACTATCACTGTCATTTCACCATACCTCTTACTTTCTTCTTTCTGTGCTGCTCTTGTTTATATCCACTGTACTTGATGTCTTTCCATGTTTTGTAAATAAAACGTTATTTTAAATAATATAAAACTAAATTTATATTGGCTTAAATATGCCATGCTTTGTTTAGATTTTTTGTTGTAAGCTTTAGAAGGTAATATATTGCTAAAACAAATAAACCTTGAAAACGTAATTGCTGTTTTCCTATTTGGTTGAAGACATACTTTTCCTCACAGCCAAGAAGTTTTTTCATTTTTCAGAATATCCTGTTATGTCAAAATCTTTCATGTTTGTTGGCTTGTAACCTTTGCTCCAAATCAGTATAGTTTTAGTCCAACTTTTTGAAACTCTTAACAAATCATAATTCTTTGCAAATTAATGTTATAGATATATTTTAGAAAGTGTTTCATGGGGTTAGAATAATCTATTTTAAGGAAAATCAGTTAGTAGGATCATAAGTATCTGTCACCGCCTACTAAGGACCTATTGTCAGTTGAAGAGTCTGTTATAGAGCTATAACACATCTATTGCTGTGCAGCCTAATACAGAGGTAAAAAAATGAAATAAACCATGATAAGAGTTAACATATGTAGCAGCCATTAAAAAGATGGTTGGGAAAGCAGCAGGAAAGAGTTCCCACAAACTCATTGAAACTTCCCTGCTTCAGAAAGCAAACAGCAAAAGGAAATGTTTTAGTTAAAGTCTGATGAACACAAAATGAGATAGAAAAGGGAAGAAAACATAACTTTAATAAATGAAAATCTGGATTTGTTAACCTTAAAACAGGCTTATATCTGAGGCAACCAGATTTTTTTTTCTCAGTTTTCCTGAAGTCTGGTTGGGTATGATTTAAGCAAAGCATCAATGATCTATACAGATCAAGTAGACATTGTTATTAAACTCAAGAAAAATAAATGTTAATCAAAGATTACACAAACTGAGCTATACAGATTACATGTCAAACAAAGGTTTTATCGTCTTAAAGATCTACGTATTTCACAGAACTTTACTGAGAACTAGCATCTTTTATATTATGTCCTTTGTCCTTCAGAAAATTACTATACCATCTCTTATATATGTTTTATATTTAGTAAGATATGATAGGATGCAAGATCTATGAATTACTTAAAATGAGTTATTGATACGGTTAGTTCATTACCCAGGGATCTTTGTTTAGTATATAGTAGTGTTTTTAAAATACCTATGTTCGGTGTAGGATTTTTTAAGCTGTTACCACCAATAGCTATATAAATTAAATGAATTTAACTGAATTGCTGGTTGAAGCAGATTAATCAAGCTCTGGCAGCAATGGCGGATGACTTTGGCAAAAATCGTGATTGAAATTTGATACACCTTTTGTGACCAAAAGTATTTTTAAATGGTTTAAGCTCCGACTCTTTGTTTCATAAACCTAAATATCTAATGACTTTATTAAAATGTTTTACTTAGGCAACTGTCAGCTGAACGGGGGGTTTCACCCCCTCTGTCTCCCAAAAAGGACACCTGATTCTAGGCAAATCATCCTTAACCTACCAGTGGATTTATTGAGAAAAGGACCACAGACTGTAACTCAGTCAAATAATTTAGAAATCTTAATTTTTTTTCTTTTTAAAAAAAATTTAAATCAAGCGTCAAAATGTGATAATTTTATATAACTCTATCAGAGGATGTAGAAGAAGAATTTACTCTTTTTTTTTTACACATGCCTGATAAATTGCTGGAGTTCCTTAATTATAAAATAACCAAAAACAAAGGCCAGAGGGGCTAAGAGCTAAAACTGCCCTAATTCAACACTGATGGCTTCCAGCCTTCATTTTTCTGCACTGAATGTACTAAGCCAGCTATAAAAGTAGAGGGGGAACTGAAAGAATACTAATTTTAGATTGTATGTAATGTAAGTTACTGCAAGTGATCTAGTATTCTATGACGCTGAACCTTGCGAAAATGGGCTATTGTATAATTTTTCTCAGGTTAAAGCAATTTAGGTTGTCTATTCAAACTATTTAGTCTGCATGCGCATATTTATATAAAAGACGGCTTTCAGAGGGGATATATATGGAGCTAAAGGTGTAAGATTCTATAATCTCCTGTCTCTCTCCTTGTGTGAGAGAGGGTGCAGAAAAAGATTTAAGAAATCAAGGCCACAGCAAGTCCTTAGAAAAAGAGTTTTGATTAAGAATTTATTTACAATCGTGCTGAAATTTTGCTGAAAGAGGAAATAAGTTGATGACAAAGCAAATCAGAGAAACTTGAATGAACAGAAGTTTTGAAGAGTTGAAAAAATTTATAGAACATTTAAAATATCTAACTGACTGGAACCAGTACTCATATAACGTTTTAAAAAGTAATTTTTTTTTTACTTTAACTTGAGTATTTATCAGTAACTACTCTCTATTTTTACTTGAGGAGACGGAATCAGGAAAACAAGAGCAGAGAAAATGGAGAGTAAAGGTACCACATTTGATTGGCAAATTCTGTTATTGTGTAAGTGTTCCAGTTAAACTTTTATGCTCACTTAAGATAAATTCTTCAGTAAAACAAGCCCAAAAATAGGACTTCTGTCATTCGGGGTATTTCATCAGCCCTTAAGGCTACCAAATTACAGGAAGTCACAAAGTGTTACATAGAGACAATTGCAAAGGACCAATGTTTGGATTGGCTTGCAAGTACCACCTTTCTCCCTGTCATAAGAACTATCATCATAACCCTTAAATTACTGTGATATCAAACTCTAAAAATATAATAGTTTAGGAATATATTCTGTGTTTACTTTCCCCATTCGCACTGTCATAATTTTCAATAAAGTTACCTTATTTTGGCACTTTTTAATTATAATAGATTTTTGTCTGAAATAGACTGTAATGGGTAGTTGTCTTTTATTAAAGTTAAACTTGTACTGCACCACTGTCTAATTCATAGAAATGCGTAGTGAAAATTTGGAAGCCCTACAACATTGCTCACCCTCAGGGTCGATTGGAACACCAAGACATAAAGGCAGACTTATGAAAGAGTTGCTGAATTGTTAATACCTCCAACGACTACAAGTTCCTCTGTACAAGGGCGCTCAGTATCCTTTTTTGGTGCTGCAGATAAGTGTTTAAAGTGTTCCTCCTGTCAGTAAAATAGAAATACATTTTCAGTTCCCACCCTTTACAGTTAAAAGGTTAACATGACAGATAATTCAACAAATTAGAACTTATTTCTCCTAACTGAGAAGCGGAAGAAAAATAATTGGTGGATTTTTACAAACATTTCATTTTCACTGCCTTAGCTAATGGCCTTTTAAATTCTGATTTTGGACAAATTAGGACTACTGTATGTTTTTTGTGTTTATCTGTAGTAACTTTGCACATGTCTACTACATGACTTTAACTCTGATTTTTTTTTTATTATTAGATAATTTTATCAAAAATTCAATTTTTTTTTCAATGACTGATTTCTTCCTCCCCCTCAACCCCGAAAAGTAGATCTTTATGCTGAATTTTCTGAAAAAGTATTAGAATTTTCCTGTGTTGTTTTTTTCAAATTCTAGTTATTCTAACATTAAGCACATAGTCCCAGTATAAAAGTCATTATAACATTTAAATGTAAGACTCCCAAAAACTTTAGAAAGACATGTGGTGACATTTTTACTTTTTCTCAATCTGCCAAGACATATTAAGACTTTATGAAGTGTAACTCATTTGTTCTGTATGAACCAATAAAAAAAATGTTAGCAAGAATGAGAACAAGATCCAAACAGTCATATTCTATTCCCGATTTCTGTTTGAAATAAAATAATCTGTCCTTAATTCATTCAGTTGTGTGAGGAGCTCAGTCATCCGAGGAGGACTCGGAGTAGAGCTGCTGCTCCTCCACATCGAGAGGAGCCAGTTGAGGTGGCTCGGGCATCTGATTAGGATGCCTCCTGGACGTCACACTAGTGAGGTGTTCCAGGCATGTCCCATCGGGAGGAGCCCCAGGGGAAGACCCAGGACACGCTGGAGGGACTTATGTTTCTTGGCTGGCCTCGGAATGCCTTGGGATTCCCCCGAAGGAGCTGGACCAAGTGGCTGGGGAGAGGGACGTCTGGGCCTCCCTACTGAAGCTGCTACCCCCGCGATCCAACCCCAGATAAGCGGAAGAGGATGGATGGATGGATGGATGGATGGATGGATGGATGGATGGATGGATGGATGGATGGATGGATATTCAGAGTTCCCCCATTGTTGTAGTGTGCTGTATTTTTAATGGTTCCCTTAAAGTCTTTATTCTAATAAGGTATATCTATTTTAGATTTTAAAGGTACTGTTAAGGTAAGCTCTGTGTTTACACCTTGAAGCATTTTCTCTCTGGTTCTTTTCCTGAGAAGAGGTCCCTCGGGGCAAACTCTTTAAATACCACTTCATAATGTATGTGTATTAAAAAAACATGACACATCACAACAGATTATGACAGAAATTATAATCTTCCTCAGTCCAGAGAGGTTGCTTATAGTTACAGAAGGCAAGTGCTTACGGCTCACATCTCGTTGGAGCGGCCCCGCTGGCCGTGAATCACAGTGAAAGAAAAATATTATACAACTCCAGTATGCCAAATCATCACATGGTTATATCATACATGTTTGCATTTGAGAAGACATCCACGGCTCAAGCCTTATCAAAATATTGGGCCATGTTCTTAGATTCCATTCACAAATCTTCGCCAAGTGCATAATGAAAATGAGTTTTTACCCTGACAGAGAAACCGTCCAAATTAGATAAACTACTTGTGAAAACATTAGTTCTGCCAAGCAACAGGTGTGTATTATTAGGGTTAAACAGACTTACACATCATAATCCTAACAGTACTGCATCTTAACTTTCCAAGGTAAAACAATCAAATGTCTTCAAAAGGATTAATGCCTCAGGCCTGCAGTGCTGCTAGCTTTTCTCCCTCTCTTGTGAACAAATCTTACAGGCAGCATGATATTCATAATTCATATTCATGTGCAGCACTTGTTATCTACAATAGAGCACAACAAGTATGGGAGTGTGTAATACACAGAACATAATAAAAGTGGTGTGTACAGTAAGTAAGCATTCATATTTTATGTGAAACTCAATCAAGGCACACATGGCTTATCCTTAACTTTTGATTGTTGTGTGTTTACTGGGCTTACAAAAGTACTGAATACTTTAGATGTTGACTTTGCATAAGGTTTTGA